AGAGAGAGAGAGAGAGAGAGAGAGAGAGAGAGAGAGAGAGAGAGAGACAGACAGAACAGGCCAAAGACAAAGGCTCAGAGAAATTCAGCATCCTGCCTGAGATCACTCAGCAGAGAGTCACTGGCCTCGATCTTTAACGAACATTTGGGCCAAGCCCTTGATGGAGTTTGACTCTGTTTGCAATGGCGGGAGCCCCTGGAATCCCCCCCCCAGTCCCCCCAAGCCTCCAATTCCTGCCCTGTTGGTTGGGCTGGAGGGGTGTGTGCGGTTACAGAAGAACCCCGCCGCCCCCAGCAGTAAGCAGCTCCCTGCGCGCACTTGGCGGGGCCCCAGGCGGGCGCAGGGCGAACGCCCTCCCGCACCAGTTCCCGCGCTCGGCTCGCCCCGCCCCCAGGACGGGCTGTTCTTGGGGCGGCTGCCAGACACGTCCTCCGCAGGTGCCGGCCTCTCTCCGGTGACGCGGCCACATGCGGCCCAGGCTCCGATTACAGGGCCTGCCTTGTACTCGGGGTCCGGGCTGGGGGTCCTCACTCCCCAGGAATGGGTGGGAGGGGCAGGACAGGCCCTGCAGAGGGAGACTACGAACAAGGAACAGCCGCAGGCAGGAGCCGCCCCCAGACACGTGCGGCGGCCGCCTAGCCGCCGCCCGCCGCGGTTTGGAGGCGGGGAGCCTGCGCCCAGTTGCATGACTTGACTGAGCCCAGGACCCAGTGCTCTAGAAGTCCAGGACCACTAGGCACCCCAGGATCCTGATACCCGTCTCGGGGATGAGCGGGTCTAAAGGGCTGGTGGGAACCGAAGTCAAACACTGGGCCAGCCCCAAGCCCCAAGCCCCCAGCCTTCTCTCTGTCCACAGACCATGTGCAACGCTGGGTCCCCGGGTCCAGCGGCCCACTTTGCCAAGGAAATGAAAACGTACATCTTGTACTCCTGGATTCTCTTCCCCCACGTCCCTTTCTTGTTGGCGCTAGCGGGACTCACAATCAGAACCTCCGGCCCAGGACCCCTTGGTCATCCAAGCCACCTCTTTGGCCTAGCTTCCAATAGCTACAGTGTCAGAGGAGCCCAGGACCTACTGAAAAGGCTAGGGAATAGTAAGAAAGAGAGTCCTCACTCTACATACATACATACAGAGAGGGGGGG